TGGAAAGTTGGGTTCACTGGTTTTCAGGCAGCAAGTTTGTGCCTTAAGGATGAAGGCATGCTTTAGAGATGGCATAGCAGTGAGATGGAAAAATCAACTCGTGGAGCTGCCCTAGGAGCCCTCAAGAGTCTTCTAGATTTTTCACCTGAGGAAAACACCTTGTTAAAAGCCACTGTTACTTACAGATTTTTCTATTTGCAGCCCAGCCTAATGCTAACTGAAGGACTGGATAATAAACAGAGATGCGGCTGTAGCCAGAAAAGAATGCACCTTCCTTTGAGGCAGGAGGGAAGAGTTGATATTTGAAACAGAGAGGAGAATGTGAATGCAAGTATGTTCAAGTGGAGTGAAGAAGAGAAGATTTTGGATAGATAATAGCCTCTGTTATTATCTATCCAAAAGAAGTAGGTGATACATCTCAGAAGAATGGAAATGGTTTAGATCAACTTTTGTGGCAAACGTGGTGAAGAGCAAAAATAAATTTTAGTAGGGCCAAGTAGCAGTGAGATTGTGTAAGAAGATGAACAGAAGAGAAAGGCTAGATTTGAAGAGGAGACAAATTGTGTAGAAGGAAAGTGAACCAATTGGATGTAGGCTGCGGAGATCAAAGCATCAAAGAACAGCAGCATCAATCATAATAGTATTGGCCACGTAATATCTGCTGGATACTAGTTACATGCTTTACATGTATTCACTCATTTAATCTCCACAACTTTAATGTGAGCAAATGCATGGAAATAGAAATTAAGATGACAGAAGTAGGTGTAGAAAATTGGAGAGAATATTAGAAAATCATTCAATGTCTAATATTCACTTGCAAGTATGGCCCTTTCAAGTAAAGAAAAAGAAAAAGGAAAAAACAAACTCATATATAATCTAAGGTCAAGAAACAAACATAAGATATGAAAATTGTCAGTACATATTCATAATATAAGAAGATTGAGCTGGTCTATCAACAAATCTACCATAGGCAAAAAAAAGTGTTTTTACATGGGCTTACCAGGTTTGCCCTATTCTTTGCCTATCTTCTTTATCTGAAGTGGATTTAGGGCAAATACAGTATATCTAATTTTAGGTAAATATAGTATATACAATACAGTTGACCCTTGAACAACACGGGTTTGAACTGGGAGGTTCCACTTATGCAGTGATTTTCTTCTGCCTCCACCACCACTGGACAGAAAGACTAACCCCTCCTCTTCCTCCTCAGCTTACTTAACATGAAGACAAGGATGAAGACCTTTATGATGATCCACTTCCACTGAATAGTAAATATATTTTCCTTATGATTCTCTTAAAATTTTCTTTTCTCTAGTTTATTGTAAGAATGCAATATATAATATATACAACATATAAAATATGTATTAATCAACTAGTTATCTGCAAGGCTTCTGGTCAATAGTAGGCTATTAGTAGTTAAGTTTTGGGGGAGTCAAAAGTTATCTGTGGATTTTCAACTGTGCAGGGGGGTCAATGCCCCAACTCCCACATTTTTTAATGGTAACCAATACTATTACTCAGGCCCAAAAGGAAATTTACCTTAAATAATCTATATTTTATTAATTAAATCCTTAAACTGAAAGGTCAAAGCTCCCTGGAATTTTAGGCATTAACCAAAAGATGACAGTTTTAGTGCATGAGCCTTCTAAAAATACATACTATTCATGGTCATTCTGCATTGTTACATGTAAAACATTACTATTAGGCCGGGCGCGGTGGCTCAAGCCTGTAATCCCAGCACTTTGGGAGGCTGAGACGGGCGGATCACAAGGTCAGGAGATCGAGACCATCCTGGCTAACATAGTGAAACCCCGTCTCTACTAAAAAATACAAAAAAACTAGCTGGGCGAGGTGGCGGGTGCCTGTAGTCCCAGCTACTCGGGAGGCTGAGGCAGGAGAATGGCGTAAACCCGGGAGGCGGAGCTTGCAGTGAGCTGACATCCGGCCACTGCACTCCAGCCTGGGCGACAGAGCGAGACTCCGTCTCAAACAAACAAACAAACAAAACATTACTATTAAAATTAAGTTTGACCTGTAAGATGGTCCACTGATCCCATTTTCTGGTCTTCAAACCTTTGAATGTGGGCTGGACTTAGTGACTTCTAATGAAACCAATATGACAAAAATGATGGATGTCACTTTCAGGATTAGGTTAACAAAAGGCTGGCTTCTATCTTGCTGTCTCTCAATCATTCACTCTGTAGGAAGCTAGCTCTATGTTGTAAACTGTCCTTTGGAGAGAACACTGTGGCAAGGAACTGAGTAAAGGAGGCCTCTGGCCTACACGCAGTGAAGAATTAAGGAACTCAATCTGACAATGTGTGAGGCACTGAGTCCTGCCAACAACTACACAAGTGAGCTTAGAAACCAACCCTCAATCCAGCCTTCAGGTGAGACTGCAGTCCTGACTTATCTATTGCTGCATCTGGATGCCTCAAAGTCATCCAGATGCAACAATAGATAACTAGTAGTTATAGATTAACTTCGTCTCTCCTAAAATTTCAAGTAAAATAAATAATACAGGCCGGGTTCAGAGGCTCATACCTGTAATCCCAGCACTTTGGGAGGTTGAGGAGGCAGGATCATTTGTGCCCAGGAGTTTGAGACCAGCCTGGGCAACATAACAAAACCCCATCTCTACAAAATATATATAAATTAGCCAGGTATGGTGGCATGCACCAGTAGTCCCAGGTACTTGGGAGGCTGAGGTGGGAGGATCACTGGAGCCCAAGAGGTTGAGGCTGCAGTGAGCCATGATCATGCCACTGCACTCCAGCCTGGGTGAGAGTGAGACCTCGTCTTGAAAAAAGAAATAATACAGTATATACTCATGTCTAGCTTCTTTCACTCAGCGTAGTGTTTTTGTAATTCATCCATGTTACTGTGTATACCAGTAGTTCATTCTTTTTTATTGCTGAGTGGTATTTCATTGTATGACTATACAACAATGGATTTATCCATTCAGCTGTTGATAGACATTTGGGTTGTATCTGGTTTTCAATATTGTGTTTGGGGACTTTTAGAATTCTGTAATGTCAAATGATCATTTAAGAGTGAGTGCAAACTAAGCTGGGTGTGGTGGCATGTGCCTGTAGTCCCAGCAACTTGGGAGGCTGGAGCAGGAGGATTGTTTAGTTCTGGAGTTCTGTGCTGTAGTATGCGATGATCACACCTGTGAATAACCACTGTACTCCAACCTGGGTAACATAATGAAAACTGATCTCTATAAAACAAAAACAAAAAAACAAAGATTGAATGCAAATACAGACATTTCAGACAAACAGGATCTAGAAAGTTTACTGTCCCTAAAGACCTTTGGTAAAGAATTACTAAGGAGGCTAGGTGCTGTGTCTCATGCCTGTAATCCCAGCACTTTGGGAGGCTGAGGTGAGAGGATCACTTGAGTCCAAGAGTTCAAGACCAGCCTGGGCAACATAGCGAGATCCTGTCTCTACAAAAATAAAAATTAGCCAGGTGTGGTGGTGCATGTCTGTAGTCCCAGCTACTTGGGAGGCTGAGATGGGAGGATGGCTTAAGCTTGGGAGGTTGAGGCTGCAGTGAGCCATGATCATGCCACAGTACACCAGCCTAAGAAATAGAGTGAGATCCCTGTCTCAAAAAAAAAAAAAAAAAGTTGACTTTAAAGGGATTGGATTGCAGGATTCACCGTTGGGCAAGGGGGGAAAGGATTGAAGTTAGTTATTTTTCTTTTAAAACATGAACCTTAAAATAATGGACCAGCAGACACATCAAAATCTTACATGACATTTTACACATTTAGTCATTGCTGAGGAAACATGTTAAAGCTTTTGTTGACTTCTCTGGTAGTGGAACTGCATATAACCATATCCTGATATAGTCAGAGGAGATAGCAAGTTTTCATCTTTTTGTAACATGTGACTTTTCCAAACCTAACCTACTTTTGTCTCAACAGAAGCCATTCCTTTCTATAAGAATAAGCTTTTGAAGGTATTTTCCTTAAACTTCTAAAGTTTACATATTAACTGCTCCATCATTCAATAAGGGCATATTTACAAACCAGGCAAACAAGGGTTTCTGCCCAGAATGCCCACCACACCTTGTCATCTGACCCTACTCTAAAGCTAATTTCTTCAGGAAAGTCTTTCTTATCCTTAACCTGCTACCCAGTCCCACTTCCTTCCACATGCCCCAATCCTTTTCATTACTTCTATCAACAGATACAGCTTTTTTTTTTTTTTGAGACAGAGTCTTGCTCTGTCGCTAGGCTGTAATGCAGTGGTGCGATCTTGGCTCACTGCAACCTCTCACTCCCTGGTTCAAGTGATTCTCCTGCTTCAGCCTCCTGAGTAGCTGGGACTACAGGCACACGCCACTACGCCCAGCTAATTTTTGTATTTTTAGTAGAGAGGGGGGTTTCACCATGTTGGTCAGGATGGTCTCGATCCCCCGACCTCTTGATCCACCTGCCTCGGCCTCCTAAAGTGCTGGGATTACAGGTGTGAGCCACCGTGCCTGGCCTTTTTTTTTTTTTTCTTTTTTTTTTTTGGGACAGAGTCTGGCTCTGTCACCCAGGCTGGAATGCAGTGGTGCGATCTTGGCTCACTGCAACCTCCACCTCCTAGGTTCAAGTGATTCTTGTCCCTCAGTCTCCCAAGTAGCTGGGATTACAAGCATGTACCACCATGCCCGAATAATTTTTGTATTTTTAGTAGCGACAGGGTTCACCATGTTGGCCAGGCCAGTCTCGAACTTCTGGCCTCAAGTGATCTGCCCGCCTCAGCTTCCTAAAGTGCTGGAATTATAGGTGTGAGTCACTGCGCCCAGCCAACAGAGGCAACCTTTTATTGCTCTTATTCATATACAGATTCCTCCCTTTCCCCCCAAATATACCATATGTTCCTTGAAGATAGGAGTTATTTTTCATCTGTGTCCATCTGTAGCACAGTGCCTAACACATAGCAGGCATTCAATAAATCTTTGTGGAATGAATGAATGCATAAATAGCTTTATGATTTGGATGTTTTTAAATTATTAATTTATTTTCAAATCGTACTTAGTTTGAGTTCAGATAGTTCAAAAATCAATATAATGCTTCGGGATGCTTCCAGTTATTGAAAAAACCCAATTAAAAATATACAACTCACACTTTATTTTGGTTAAATTCATAATGTAGGTAATATTAAAAATTATTATAAATATGTAATAATGCTTTATAATTTGCTATTATAGTACACCACTACTGACACATAAAAAGTTGACTTATCTAATTAAAACATTTTCCCTTCCTATGTTTCTAATTCTGAAAACTATAAAAATATTAAAGTCATGTTACATATTTTTCAAAAATAAAACTGCCATATCCCATTGCCAACTTTACAGGAAAAAGGCATACGTTCTGGTAACATAGGAAGTTAATGATGAAAAAAATAGGTTCAGAATTTTAAGTTGGTGTATTTGAATATGAAAACATAAATGACACAAATGGTTTAAATCCTCATTAAAACAAGCTTCACATTTCTCCGAATGCATATTTTGCAGAAGGATGAACTTCTAGCCAACATACAATAAATATATCAATTGTTTACATTCCCAAATATTGAAAATACTGGCTGAAAAATCTAGAAAGACAATGTTAAAGGAGCATAATTAAATAAGCCTTAGACCTTTTATCATTGAAAATTAAGATCCTAATTTTAGTTACTACTTGGCTCTGGTATGGGAAAGTCTGAACTATTCATGCAAAACAGAATAATTTTTTATTTTCCATTTTATACATAGCTGCTATCCAAATGATCTTTTTTGAAAAATGAATAATTATTAGCTATTATTTGTGATTCAAGTTCTAGCAATGGCCATCCCTAAATGGATATTCTATTAACATACTAGCACAATATGGTCTTTTATATCATGTGAAAATACTTGCTGCTTTTGGTGACTACAGTTTCATGGATGGGAATTCAAGATAGACTCATAACAGAACAAATTCCAAATTACAGTACATTGTGTTACAGTAAGACTCCAGTGTATTCTGGAAATGTAATAAACAAGCTACAGCTTTTTTTTTTTTCATATTTACTGGAAAAAAAACACTTATATAAACTTTTTTTACCTTGGTCACACTGGATTCACATCTCCTCAGAAAACATCTGTTATATAAACTATTGATAACTTAGCTTTCAGTTTTAAGTAATTATTTGGTAGTATTACCACTCTATTTTATGGCTTTTTAAACATTAAGTCCTTAAACATTTGAAAAGTGTTCACTATATTCTGATAGTTCATGAAAAAAGATGTGAACATCAGCTTAGAAAGCTTATATATAAAGCTTTAAAAATCAGTGTTTTAAAAGATTATTCAATAATAGAAAATCATGAGTACAGAGGTAAAATTAAAAACTTATTAAAAAATTCCATACACGATCCCCTTCAGAAAATGAATCTATAATCTTGCTTCTTTGTGAAGAGTTAAGGGTGCGTGTAGGAGATCACCAAAAAGCTGAAGTTTAGATACATTAGCAACTAAGTTTTTTTCCCCCACTTTCAAAATAACCCTTCAAACAATCAATTTTTGTAAGTCCAGGGTTATAAAAATAATAAATGGGATATTAAAGTTCCCTCTTAAAATATCTTGGCCAGTTCACTGTATAGATTTAAAATAAAATGAACACTTGTTTCAGGACTTATATGAAAAAAATGGGCATTTCCAAATGTAAAGATGAACTATATATATATTTAATAACATTACGATTAATATAAAGGCTAGAAGGCTTAAGTTGCTCAATATCTAAACAAGTTTTACCAGGCAAATCACATGATTTCACATAATTTTTTCTTTTTTTTTGAGACATAGTCTCGCTCTGTTGCCTAGGCTGGAGTGCAATGGCATGATCTCAGCTCACCGCAACCTCTACCTCCCGGGTTCAAGCGATTTTCGTGCCTTGCCTCCAAAGTAGCTGGGATTACAGGCGCCTGCCACCACACCTGGCTAATTTTTGTATTTTTAGTAGAGACAGGGTTTCACCATGTTAGCCAGGCTGGTCTCGAACTCCTGACCTCAGGTGATCCACCCACCTCAGCCTCCCAGAGTGCTGGGATTACAGGCAGGAGCTGTGCCCGGATAGATTTCACATAATTTTAATGATCAAATTAGCCAATCAGTAAACCACAAAATCTTACTTAGGAAAAGGGTCTATTATATTTATTTTGAATATGGAACCATAGTTCTTTTTCCCTAGGTTGAGAAAACTTGAGCAAAATTAGTTTTATTTAGGCCCATGGTTTAAAAATATTGAGATACAAGAGATTTTTTTTTTTTTTTTGAGATGGAGTCTTGCTCTGTCGCCCAGGCTGGAGCACAGTGGCGCGATCTCGGCTCACTGTAACCTCCGCCTCTGGGGTTCAAGAGATTCTCCTGCCTCAGCCTCCCGAGTAGCTGGGACTACAGGCAAGTGCCATCACACCCAACCAATTTTTGTATTTTAGTAGAGATAGGGTTTCACCATGTTGGTCAGGCTGGTCTCAAACTCCTGACCTCGTGATCCGCCCGCCTCGGCCTCCCAAAATGCTGGGATTGCAGGTGTGAGCCACTGTGCCCGGCTGAGATACAAGAGATTTTAAAAGAAGTTTTCAAACTATTCAGGTTACAGACACAAATTTATAGAATTAAGGAGATTTATAGTGTACATCAACATTCATAGCTTATTTATTTAAAATTTTGTGGTTCTGAAACTAAGGAAGAATTATACGAAATGACCTATATAGTCTCTTTTAGCAATAAACTTTCAATTATATTATTCTGCTTTAAAATAGTTAAGACTATATCTCAAAGTTGTTTAAGTAGATAACGTTGGCCCTGAATTAAGGATTTTTTTTTTCATCCCCTTTCTGGCTTTTAGTCCTTCCTAGTCAGTTATTAATGGGGAATAAATATCACACATTTTACTCAAGTGATCCTTAATTCCTGGCTCTATGCCCCCTCCTCTCTCCAGAGCCCACAGTATCCTAACATATGGTAAGTACTCAATACTGAGGATTCTTGAATGAGTAGCAATATATACTAAGGATGGATCAATAATTTAAAAGAATCTGGAGGTGACAGTAGTTGCTTTTATAAACCCCCCAAACAATAATTTCAAAGCTTCTAGTCTCCTTTTCAGATTTACTTTGGTTTGTCTTTATAAGTAATAAAAAGAGATAATACGGTACAAGAATACATGGTTACATCATTACGGCTAAGCTATAAGCAAGGACACATAAAAAAATTTAAGTTTCCATTCATGTATTGAAGAGTGAATTTTATTTACACTACTAGTAAATCCCAGCTACTCCAGTTATTCTGTTATATCTCATCAATAACAGGAAAAATATCTTCTTCCAGTATTTCGGTTTTAACAATTGTAATTAAATTGGTTAGTTATAATAAGAGTTAAGAAGCAATTAATGAATTTTTTTTGGAAATAAAAAATATGTATATACATTACCCTGATACCTAGGCCAAAATATATCTAACAACAAATTTTCTTGATTTATATTAGTCATAAAAATAAAGGAAAAATATATTGCAAGTATTTTCTTTATAGACAATTTCAATTAGAAAACAATAGTTTGAGGAAAGCAATAAAGTGGTTCATAAGAATGGATTGATATGGAGGCAAGATAAGTATTTAAAACTTGACAGACAACATACTGTCAAATATGACGAAAGAATATCTGCCTCAATGACACCATTTACAGGCAGTAACTAGATTTTTACACAACTCCATTTTCTCTCATATTGAAGGAAATTACAGGTAAGTTATGCTCCTAAGTCAGTTAAGAACCCCTTCTTTTAGCTTGTAAAATGTAGCCTTTTGATTTGATAATTCCTCTACTTTTCACAATGACCGAGTATCGCAGTAGCCACAGTGGCACCCACTCGTGCGCTTGAATGTCAGGTATGCTTTCCTGAAGAGCTTCTTGGAAACTTGCTTCAGAAAGCAGTTCTAAAAGAAACAACAACAAACAAAACTCCAGCGTGTTAAATTGGAAAACAAAAAAGCACTTTACTATGTAGGTAAGCATTTAACATAACAAAAGAAACCCTCAAAATTTAATATATAATATGCTTATCCTTCATGTGTGTGCTATGAATCTGAACCAGAGTATTAGAAACTCCCAGGCAGTTATTTAAAAAAGTAACTACAACTGTACCCCAGCCTATTTAATTCATAACTTTTGGTGAGTGCAGCCTAGACATCACAGTTTTTTAAAGATCTCCAGGTGATTCTAATGTATAGTCAGGGAAAATACAGGAAAGTCTAAAGGAAAAAAAAGTAACTGATAATCCTATCAATTGGAGATGATACACCATTGTCATGCACTTTCTTACAACTTTTTTGGTGTATATGTGTATATATCTTCATATATATATCTCCATCCATATCTTGAATCTCTATATATCTCTATATCTTATATCTGTATCTGTGTGGGTATACCTGTATTTTATAAAACTAGAAATCATACTGTAGTTACAGCCTTTTTAATTATCTTTTTCCACTTATATTGTGAATATTTTCCCATGTAATAGTCTGTGAAAAGATCATTTTTAATAATTTCCCCACTACTATATTATATAGCTATCATAATCATATATTTCCCTATTATTTTGCCTAATAAAAATATGAGATAACATTTTAAAAAAAAATATATTTATCTAATAATATAATATTTCTTACAGATGGATCCTCACTCTGTTGCCAGGCTGAGTGCAATGGTGTGACAGTAACCACAAATCTACTTACAGAGGGTTATATATTTATTCTAGCTTTCCATGAGAACCGTGAGGCAAAATTATTTATTAGGCCCATGGTTTAAAATTATTGAAGAACAAGAGTTTTTTGT